GAATCTTACTGGAGTTGAATCTTACTGGAGTTGAATCTTACTGGAGTAGAATCTTACTGGAGTTGAATCTTACTGGAGTTGAATCTTACTGGAGATGAATCTTACTGGAGGTGAGTGCTTACACTCTGTCTGGTGCTCTTTTAGGTCTGACCTTCACGTCCTGACAGTTACCTGTATGTTGTTTTGGAGAATACGCCGTTTGAGAAGCCCAAGCATCAACATACCATACTTTCCACCGTACACGTTGCACCGCTGTGTAAGTTGCATCAGTCCTCAAATATGTCTAATAAAGTGGGGAAAAACATAAATAAGTTGCTTTGCCATATAAGTTGCATCTATTTGATGCGTCGCGTTTGTTATTCGTCACCGCTGACCACACGGCAAGGTGGGCCGGTGTTGTGCCAAAAATCTATTGGCTGCCAAATGGTGGCCGCAGGTGCGTGCACAGGAGAAATTTAACAAGATTAACACTTAAAAACAATTATTTGTTTGTTCAACATTATAGTAAAGTTGTGTCTCAGTTGAACTTTATCTTTAATAAATGCACTTTAATGGTCAAATCAGCTGCGGAGCAGTGAAATGAAGCTGCTTTGACGTTTGCTCCTGGAGTTCTGGAGTGGGATGAAGGTGGTTTGTATGGCAAGCCAAGTGTCTCATTAATAGCCACTTTTACCTATTAATGAGATACTTGGCTTGCCATAAAGTCGAGAGTCCTCTAGTGGCTGAAAATGGTAGTGTTCAATATTTTCCATGTCAGAATGAATGAAATCATCAGATCTCAGTGAAAAAATGGTTATAAATATGGGAAAAATAAACAAATAAGTAACTTATTTTATATAAGTCACAGGACATGCTAATTTATTCAAAAAGGTGTGTCTTGTACGGTAAATGAACCTTTGTGTGACAGTTATTAGCATATTTTGGCAAATACTTCTATTACCACAGCTAATCTATGCTCCTTAACTGATGTCATGTGTGACGAGGCCCAATTAATGACTATTTCCCTTAAATTATACAGACTACTCCTTTAAAGGAGAAAAGAAAGTGTGATGACTAAGTTAACAAACAAAAATACAAAATGAACAAGTGAAACTTAAGGTCAGGGGGAGTTGGAGCTAAAACAGCAGTTTCCGAGGCAGGATGAACGCCCTGCACAGAAATACGTCTTATACAGGAACTTTTCTGTTGCGTGGGTCTTTTTGTCTTTTTGTTCTTTTCCCATGAATGCACACCAGAAAGAGGCAACTGAGGATAAAGGCCACAGAGACTGCCTTCACTGTCTGGTTTCCTTAAACTTGCTCTTAGATGCATTTCAGGCCCACTATAAGACGGATAAAAGGTCTTGTCAGAGAAACAAAGCAGAGCGGTAACTTGTTCAGAACTACAAAAACCAAAGTACCTGCAAAGGAGCAAGGATTTGGACAGAGGCTTTTGATCCTGGTGCAGCTGAAATATGGAGCCCCAACTCAAACTAGCTTGGATCACCTGATTAGAATAAAACTGGAACTTTTGCAACGTCGTGTGACTGATCGGAGTGTTTGGCTGTGCCCGGTGGTTGCTGGGAGTCGGGGGTTATTGATGCTCTCCCAGCTGCATGCGGCTCTAAATGGAGCTCATCTCGTTTGGTCTGCGGCCCAGAACCAGACGGCACTCTCTGCTGAGAGCCAGAATCTGAATAACAAGTGTTCAAGAACAACCAACTGTTCGGAGTCCACACAAGGTCAGCGAACAACAATGGAGCCTGTTAGTCACATTTGGATGAAACAGCTTCACCAAACTTTTTCTGAATCTGAATTACAGTCGTATCATTCTTTGTGCTCGGCCTGACGCTTTTAAAGAGGCTCATCCTCTCCATAAAACTGACACAGGTAAAACTTTACTGCCCCTCTTTGAAATGATGCAGGTTTTATCCAGGTGTACTTTGAAACCATATTTTTTCTTTCAGTTGAATTCAACTCAACTAAATTAACAACAGAAAAGGAAAACAATATAAAATACTATTCTACAAATCAATAATTTACCTAAAAAAGAACAGACTAAAGCCAAGGCTTATACTTTCCTATCCTATTCATAGACTCAGCTGTCTACAATAATGAAAAACATCTACCGTCCATGTCATTCATAAGTACAGATACGTACATTTATATTTAAATATGCACGTATACATACATGGTTACACAATACATACATGTACGTAACAGTATAAGCTTTTGTAATTTTACATGTTAAGGCTCCATATTTTTAAAGTGCACCAAAAAAAACACATAATTTAAGATCATCATTCAGTTCGTTCCAGTTTCACGCCAATAACTGAAATACGTCTTGATTTTACTTTTCTCTTTAGCATGTTCAAATATCAACAACTGAACTTTAGAACTGGTTTAAATGAACGTCGAGATATAACCACGCCCCATTTTCCATACAAGGTAAGCCACTGTTACTCACGCTCCGCCCACGAGGCGTGGCCAGCCTGGAAGTTGCTATATTTTCCCACCTCCCAGCACCACACACGTATTTGCCACGCGCTCTGATGGGTTTTATGGTCGAAGGTGCGTGTTTTATTGAGTAACACCAGCACATGGACTTTGCAGCAGCCGCGCGTGCGCCGCTTTGTGGTTTTAATTGAATTTAGATTGAATCATGCTGAAAAACAATGGGAAGAAAACAGCGGTGTCTGCAGGATGCACGGCAGGTTTGTGCGCGCTGCTGCTCCTGCTCGCTGTGCATCACCGGGTCCAGGTCTCCGAGGGGACGCACGGAGGGGACGCTCACGCGCGCTCCCCTGACGCTGGCGCAGCGCAGCTCGGGAGCGCACGGGAGCGGAAGAGCTTCTCTGCGTTCTTCACCCAGCTGACGCGGGCGCGCAGGGACTTGGAGAAGCCCGCGCGCTCCTCCGCAGCCACCACCGGGGACCCCCCTCCAGCTGAGGACATCAGCGCGGATGACGTCTTCATCGCTGTGAAGACCACCAAGAAGTTCCACCAGTCCAGACTGAGCCTGCTTCTGGAGACATGGATCTCCAGAAACACGCAACAGGTAAAATAAAACAAAAAATAATCTTTAAAAATGTTCAAGCTGTAACTTAAGAGGCTTTTATTTGTGGGTTGGTGTTGCCTGAACTGAGCCGAATCTGCACACTTCCTTACATAACTTTAATCATTTAACTTTAATCATTTAACTTTAATCATTTAATCATTAAACTTTAATCATTAACTTTAATCATTTAGATAATCGTGTTTTTTCTGTGTGGATGTTTCTGTTCAGTGAGAAAACTTCAGCTGAACAAAAGCAGCTGAAGAGAGTTTCATTGTTCATCTTGTCAATGCACGACGCCCTGAAACAGACCCCCCCTCACTTTTTATTCTCCTCTGAGTGATGTCCCTGAGAACAGAAGGAACAGTTTCAGGACACCCCCCTCCCTCCAGTGCTCATTATTCTGTTCTCTTTTGGGAGTCCCTGTGAATACGCGTGCAGTGGACGCTTCACAGCACCAACTCCAGCCCTTGTGGCCTCGTCTCTTGTTCAGGACTAGTCTCTTTCTAAATGGGGGGGGGGGGGGGGGGTGTGTTCACAACTGTTCTCCATGGGAACATGGGAGCTGAGTCTGAGTCAGGCATGATGGAGGGATGGGGAAGAGGGGCCTTTGCATGGGTGCAATGTGGAAAGTTGTGAGTTGCATGCTGAGTGTGAACATGTGTGAACCAGATTTATTTGGGAGGTGCACAAAGACCTGGAGGAAACGAGTGAAAGTGATTTTAATCCTGCATGTAGGGGTGTCACGTGTTGTCCTTTAAATTCTGCACTGTTACCATGACTTCTTAAAACGTTGCCTAATTTTCTCAACTTTGAGACGTTTATTTGCTCCAGACCTGTTTGACGTCAGGAGTTGAGATAAGAGTTAGAGCAGAGGTGACGATTAGTCTAAACTGTTTGCACAGCTCAGGCTTTCAGCACCTCGTCATTTATGAACTGCTCCTGCTAATTGGTTTGCATGGATGATGTTGGTGCAGTGTTCACCAAGAGGGAACAGCAGGTCCAACAGGCAGACAGCTGGCAGGTGGCTCGGAGACAGAGAGGGACAGACTGAGCATCACAAAGCAAGAGGGAGTTCTTGGAGGAAAGGGTGCCAGGTGGTCAGGGGCAGAGGAAACAAAGGACGAGCCCTAATTCCAGCCATGATGCTCTGAGCTTCCATTGTGTGCACGTGGCTGTCCTCTGCGCTCTGACCAGGTTCTCACGATCAGCTGATGAGCATTTAAAACAGCCGGGCAGGTAACGAGGAAGCAGATGTTCTGTTTTTAAGCTCATGAGTGTTTTTAGTTCTGTGCCAATGAGAACGCAGTGTGTTATGTGAGCTCAGAGAAGGTGGAATATGTAAAAACTTTCTAATCTTTGAGCTTTCAGAACTTAAAAACAAAGTATTTACATTAGTCTTTGTGTACAATTTTGTCTGAAATTTTTATTTTTCTGGACTTGAGCCTTTGACACTATTAAAGATCTAAATAAAGTATTTGTTTGTGACATGATTCATAAATCAGAAATGAAACCAGTTTCCAGTTCCAGGACAGTCTTCATGGTGGTGTGTCACACATGAGGCCTTGAAGCATCACCTCATCACACTCGAGCTGCAGTGGCTTCAGTGTTCCTGTGAGCTGCTTGTCCACATCATCTGATCCTACAGAAAGTGTTGAAAAGCTTTAAACGTCCGGTACAGACGGTGGAAGGAGTCAGGGTGGAGGTGGGGAGCCTGGTGCCCTTCCTTCCTGAGGAGCTGGAGTCAGCCAGCCAGGCACCAAGTTCAGCTCAGACAGGGCTGCACCAGTCCTTCCTGTGCTCTGGAAGGTAGCTCCCCTTCTACATCTAGCTGTCATCATCTTCCTCTCCTGACCTTATGCCCTCCTCTTATCTCTACTTTGCACACAATCAACATTTTCCTTTCAACTCTTTGTTTTGATTTGAATCTGGAGTCCATGACAGCAGCCGTGACTTCAAGGTTCAGTTGAGAAACGATGAAAAGAAGAAATACCCCTGGCAGATTTTTCCTTTAACCACTGCAGCTGTATGCAAATGCCGTCAAACATGCTCAGAATTTACCCAGTGGAGGCTTTACCCAGCATGAAAGCTCACAGCTTTGTTCTATTCAAGAGCCTCTGGCTGAGTATGAGGCTCAGGGAGCGAGGAGGAGGCAGGGTGGGGAGGAAGAGGGGGTGAATGGCCACACACAGTTTTTGATTCACTAATCAGGGGTGAGATTCCTGCCCGCTCTCCGTTTCTGTCGGTACCCTGGCATTCGGGCAGCTGCCTCAGTGATTAGGTCGTCCATTCAGCGAGCTTTAAAGCAAACGGTCCAGCCTGTGATCCCGTCGGCAGCAAAACTGCCGCCCATCCTTGAACAAATACAGGCCATGGCTTCAGCTTCGAGAAACATCTGCTGGGAAATTGTTCCAACAAGCTGCCGGGGACGTGTTGCTTTGTGTTAGGAAGAGAGAAGCCCCGTGTGTCCTCAGTGGTCGGCTCGTAGGCCCACGCCTCAAGGACTTGACGCATCAACATGTTTGCTTGGCTAAACCACTAGAACAGTTACATGATCTGTAACGGACGTGCAACGCTCTGACACCAGGCACCACGACCTGGCGTGTCCAGGCACGTGGCCTCGTCACGCATGCTTGAAGTTGGGCAGGTGCTGCCTCACCTGAGGTGAAGAGTAAACAGACCACTGGCCGTTAAAAGCCTGCGGCCTCTTCATCATCACTGTTCAGCACCTGCTCTCTGTGTAACGTCTGCCTCCGGCTTCAAGTTCTTTTTGTTGGCCACCTCTTTTATGACTAGTTGCAACAGTCGGAGGTCTTGTGCTTTGACTCCTCTGACATTCAAACAACATGGAGGACAAAGAAGCTTGAGAACGTGCTTCGTCACGTGTTGACTGTAACAGTTTTAGCGTTTTAGTTGAGTAAACATGTTGAGATCCTGCAGCAGGCCCTGCAGGGCCACGGGCCTCAGCCAGAGGACGTGATGTACATGAATGAAGTGTGGGAGGCGGGCAGTCTGCCTGCTCCTTTGTCGGTTGTCTGGGATGCTTTGGGGCGGCTGCGTAGTTGCCATGGTGAGAGTAAAACGCAGGACAAAAGGCCTTTATTGGAGCCGGGGGCTGTTTAACTCGGCGTGCTTTCCACCGCATAAAAGACACGTTGATTGACGCTAATCACAGCGGCTGGACACGGGGAAGGGTGACGGTGTTTTAGCTGTGTGACAGCATCACATGTTGGCTCAAGTGTTGCTTTTTGTTTTGCGGGGCGTTTTGAGATCAAGTCGCCTCATCTATGATTCTCTTTGTTTGTTTGCAGACGTACGTCTTCACAGATGGAGAGGACGCTGAGCTAAAGAAGAAAATTGGTACGATTTTATGGAGAAACCTTTGTGCTAGAACAGACATGGACATGGTTGTTGCACAAACGTGACAAACCAAGTCACATTTTAAAAGTCAAAAATGCACCGTGGTGCTTTTTTTAAAAAAAAAAAACGCTAATAGAAAATATCAAGCTTCTTTTGATTAGATTTTTTTGTTTTTGCTGCCTCAGGGAGTCATGCAATCAACACCAACTGCTCTGCAGCTCACAGCCGGCAAGCTTTGTCTTGCAAGATGGCGGTGGAGTACGACAAGTTCATAGAATCGAGGAAAAAGTGAGCGCCGCCTTTTTTAAATGAAGATTTATGCAATAACGATGTGAATATTTGTGCGTTTTATACTTTGTTTCTTTGTGTTTATAGGTGGTTCTGTCATGTGGACGATGACAACTACGTGAATGTTCGGTCTCTGGTGAAGCACTTATCTCAGTACCCCCACACCCAGGACATGTACATCGGCAAACCCAGCCTGGACCGGCCCATTGAGGCCACAGAGAGACTGGGGGACAATAAGATGGTACGTTGAAGAATCTCACGTTCACAGTGATACAGTCATAGTGTTGGTGATGCAAATGTTTGTTACTTTCTCAACAGAAACCAGTAAACTTCTGGTTTGCCACTGGGGGAGCAGGTTTTTGTGTGAGCCGGGGTCTGGCACTAAAGATGAGCCCATGGGCCAGGTAAAAGAAGTTGGCTAATCAGATACATATATACCGTATTTTCCACCGTACACGTCGCACCACCCATAAGTCGCATCCGTCCAAATATGTCTAATAAAGTGGAAAAACCATAAATACGTCGCATTTATTACGTATCTCCGCTGACAACCCGGACACGTGGGCCCGTGTTGTCCCAAAAACCAATTGGCTGCCAAATGGTGTCCTTGAGAGTGCGCACGGAAGGACTTTAACAAGAATTTAACAAGATTAACACTTAAAAACAATTGTTTGTTTGTTCAACTTTATAGCAAAGTTGTGTCTCAGTTGAACTTTTACTTAATAAATGCACTTTAACGGTCAAATCAGCTGCATTTCACCGGGAAAACGAAATGAAGCTGATTCGGTTGCTCCACACAAACGAAGGTGGCAGGCTACGGCAAGCCGATTGTGTCATTAACAGCCACGTTTACCTATTACATGACACAACGGCATGCCATACAACTCGAGTGCCATCTAGCGGTTGAAAATGGTAGTGTTCAACATTTTCATTCTGACTGAATGAAAATGGTCATATCTCAGTCAAAAATTATAAATATGGAAAAAAACAACAGAAATATGTCGCTTCAGCGTATAAGTTGTAGGGCATGCAAATTAGGCAAAAAGGTGCGACTTATAGGCCGAAAAATACGGTAAACTCAGTTCTGAAATTGTTTGGGTCTTGTGTAAAATGTGCATAAAAACAAAATGCAATGATCTGCAGATTTCATAAACCTTGATTTATTCACAGTGAAACACCATAAAAATATCAAATGTTTAAAATAAGGAATTGTGCTTTTTTATTTTTTTATTGAAGTGATTTTGTATTTGATGGCAGCAGCACGTCTCAAATAATTTAGCACCGGAGTAACAAAAGGCATTATATGCATATCTAAAAAGGAAAGGGACCATCCAGCCGGTTATCAGTGCACAGTTCAAAAGCCTGCCTCTCTGATGGTATGGAGGTGCATTAGTGCAGACACAAAGGTGACCCTATTCTAACTTTTCAGGTAGATTGCTGCTATAAATTTTAAATGACCTTTTTTTAATTAATCAAAATGGTACAATTTCTTTTAACATTTGTTCCCTGTTTCATTATGAGTAAGTTTTTGAGGGTTGAACATGATTGCTTTGTTTTGATTTACATTTTATTTATTATTTTTTCAGAATTGGGGTTATAATTTCAGGGAACGTGTATTTGCATGTTTTTAAAGACCCTTGCTTTAATTAGATTTTATTTGGACCCATCTATTTTTATCACGTCTTTCCAGCGGCGGTCACTTCATGAACACAGCAGAGAAGATTCGGCTGCCTGACGACTGCACCATCGGGTACATCATCGAGTCGGTTCTGGGCGTCCCTCTGACCCGCAGCAACCTGTTCCACTCCCACCTGGAGAACCTGCAACAGGTGTCGAGACCTGAGCTTCACAAGCAGGTGAGAGACGTGCACGACACCTCCTAGACTCAGACAGGACTGGTGTTCTTGTGCGTTTGTAACGTTTTTATTCTTCGTGTCCAGATCACCCTCAGTTATGGAATGTTTGAAAACAAGAGCAACATCATCAACTTGAAAGGAGCTTTTTCTGTGGAGGAGGATCCGTCAAGGTGAAGAAAAGTTTCTGCTTCATCACCTGCTGCAGATTTCAACACTTGAGACATCTTTCTAATAATGTTACCTAATCGTTGTCTTGCAGGTTCAAGTCTGTGCACTGTCTCCTGTATCCAGACACCCCTTGGTGCCCCCCGCAGGTTGCCTTCTAGGGTGACCGCTCCTTTCTCATCCTCGTCCCCCGACACGCCTCGGTATCTGAAAGGCTCGTGGGGACCAGTGTTTGGTATTGGACCGTGCTGCTGCTGTGTTCTTGCTGCAGCCATGCACGGTCTTCAATGGTTTTACTAGGCTGCTGTGCGGCCCGCCTTCGGACTTTTCCTTCCTCCCTGGAGCCAGAACTTTGTCCCGTAACGCTCGCGAGGAGTTCAGCTCTAGGAAGGAAGTAGCGTTCACCGTTTAGCTTTGCAGGCAATCAGTTGAGCTTTTGTTTTATGTACATGTTGCTTGTAAATGCACCAACAATTCTCATAGAATGTATTGTCAAATATTTGCCTGCTTCACATTATTTTCTTTTCTTTTAGCTCTTTATATAATAAGCAGAGCCACTCTGGTTTTTAGTTCATAAACTTCGTAACTCAACTGGCTCCGGATAAAATGTTCTAATATGAAGATGTTGTAGTACTTTTGAGCAAACAGTGTTATTTCTCCCACATCCTGAGCTGGCAATTTCCAAAAGGGACCTAATCTGAGGTATGTCAGAACAAAGCACTTTTAAAAAAAGATTTATGCCTAACTGGCTTAATTTATGTCCTTTCATGACATACTTCAGTTTTGTGTCCAAATTCAACAAAAATAACCCCCTTAAAATCTAATTTTATGTCCAAATATTTAATGCCACTCCTTGTGTTAACAATCAGGGAAAAGCAACGATTGGAAGAGATTTGGTTTTAAGGGGGTCCAATCAGCGTTCTTGTTTTAATTTTTATTGCACAGCTGTTTCAAATGACCTGATGTTTCCTCTCACCTCTGAAGACGCAACAGTCGAGTCTTTTTACTCAAAACGATTGACGGTTCCATTTTTGTGGCGTTGGAGTAAAGTTGTAATCTGAGCCACAGTTTGCACAACAAGGCTGACGAGTGTGTGTTTGTGTCATCACAATAGTTCCATATTTATGCATAAGTCTTGTTACTGTTGAGGCCCGGGAGGTGAGAGCAGCGTCAGTGTTTCCACATGGGGGGCGGCCCCTCCGTGTCACATTTCACCCATACTGGGTTATTTATCTTCCCAGCAGTATTGTATACTGCACCTTCTGGTCGTTAGTGATTGTCTATGATTAGAATGTATCTCATTGTGGTTTTCGCTTGTTTTTAATGGTCTGACCAGGATTTTTTTTGTTGTGTGTATCGAACTGTGCTCAGCGACTTTATTCTCCAGTATCTGGAGCGTCTGAACAGTTCATTCCCAAGTCTGACGTCTCAGGAATTAAATCCTGGTTTGAACGGCCACGCGGCCCATGGTGGGACCTTGAACTCTGAATAAAAGTGCATAACCACTATGAAACTGTACCTCTTTGCTTGTGTTTGATTTGTGCTTCATCAAAATTCACGTGAGAGCTGACTCACGCTGTTGATCTTTTAATGAGACAGAAATGAGGAACTGCGACACAATAATTAGAACAAATACCTTGCGCTCCTTGAAGGGATGCATACTGCCCACCTCCTTTCGTGACAGAGTTTTAAACTTCTCTAATGTTGAGAAATAATAAACTTACAGCTGGTTTTGGTCAAACTGCTGCTCAAACATTGTGCGATGCAGTGGCACTCAGAATATGTGTTGTACCGTGTTTTTCAGATTATAAGTCGCACTTTAATCCTTTAATTTTCTCAAGAATTGACAGTGAACCTTATAATCAGGTGCCCTCATGTATTAACTCTGGTTGTGCTACTGACCTTGAACTGAGTTTATGTGGTTGTTGTGAATGAGTTGAATAAAGTTTGACTCATCTGACTTGTTTTGCTTAATGCACGTTATAATCCGGTGCGCCTTATAGTCTGAAAAATACGGTAAATAACGCGCAGCTACAACCACGCCCCATTCAGCTCAATATCTTTCTGTGCTTTCTAAGTTCAAATGGATGTGGTGACACCAAAATATAGTTTTGTACACGTAGATCCATTGAATACTTTGAGAGTTTCATTCAATTGTTCATGAGATATTTTGCTAACACAAAGACAACTTTTAATGCTTTTCCTTCGCCTGCTCTGATTTACACATCCTTAGACATATCTGATCTGTTTTTGCATTAACATTTCTCCTACATGTCTTTAATATGTGTCAAAGGAACAACCAAGAGTTTATTCTGACGTTAAAATATTAGACACCGAGAGAAGCATCCTTTTTATAAACGTATTAAAATAAGTTAGCAGCTGCACTAAAGAGCGGCTTTCTGTTCAAACCTTTTAAGATGAACGTATGTAAACAGTCCTGGTCCAATCTGCAAGAATGATTAAAGATAAACCTCTAAACCAAATATCTGTTGCAGGAAGTTCAAAGTGTTCCCAGACCCGTCTCCGTGTGTGCACCTAAACATTCAAAGAGTCGGAGCAGAGCCTGCAGGGCCGTGAAACCCTGGAAGACTGACGCCGGTGGTTTCAAAGAATCACGAAAAATTCACAAACGAGCTGAATTTTTTTATAGGCCTTCAGAAATGTTTGTTCATGAGCTGTGGCAGTTTTACTCCGATCGTTCAGGGAACAAGAAGATGAAAATCTACAAGAGATTTTACTGAAAACATCAAAAGATGAAGTATTTTTACTTTTGATGCTGCGACATCGTCACTACAAAAAAACTAACACGAATAAAACTGTTCATATTTATATGTAAAGAAAAAAGCAAGCTCAAGAAGTTGTTGGTTCAACTCTGACAGATGCAAAACGGAGGATTTATCATCAAAGCTTTGCATGGAAGACAAATTACTCCCAGCAAACATCCTCACCACAAACCATGACCACAGACTGGTTTTCCACAGATGTATAGTGGGAACACGTTCAAACGGCATCAATCCTCTTCAGCCCGTGTTTTTCTTTATTTCTCTGCTTTGACTCATTGAGTGTTTCCTAACAAACGCTTCAGATCACGATGTATCAAACAGAACAACCGCTCCATTTTATTAGCAGCTTTACGGCATTTCTTCAGTGGAAAATGGGTTTTACTAAGAAGGAAGGGAGAGCCGTGGCCTCCGGCACCAGCGTCATGGGAAAACGAAGCATGTGGCTTAAATATGAAACTCTTGTCTTAAAGGTCTGGCATGCTCCGACTGTAAAAACAGTAATCAGATAAGCAGCAGTTTAATGTCGCACCCAAAGCTCTGGAGAAAACACGAGATTTGAAACGGCCTCAAGCCTTTTCCTCAGACTAGTTTGTAATCCGTCAACATCAGTAATCCGTCAAACACATAAACATCTGCAAGCAGCTTTGAATGAATAACAGTCGTTACTCGTGATTATTGCCCCGTGGTGGTTTCCCTCCGTTTATCTCCCCTTGAACGTTTGCTGTTGCAATTACCGGTAGAGTACGGCAGTTCCCATCGCAGCTGCAGAGCAACACCGAGCTTGTAGCTTCTACACACCAAGGTTTGTCTCGTGGATGGAGAACTCCAACAGGAGATGAAGCAGTTTGTGACGTGTCCATCCATCAGCAAAGTGTTCTTTGTTCACGAAGGGAAGCTGAGTCTGAGTGCTTTTTAATTTAGTGCAATGACGTCAGTGACAACTGGCTTAAGAGATACGTTTGAGAGTGATACGGTACTTTGCCCACGCGTGCACCCTCCTCGGTAGTCTTTCTGTTTTGTTGCCTTACGTCCTGGAAATGAATTGCACTTTTTATTTCATTAAAGAGCAGCAGTTAAAGTCTGTTTGGGAATCAGGTGATTCCATGATCTCATCTGTCCACCTTCAGGTGTTTGGTCCATTTCTCAGTTCCTTCAGGTTCAACGGGTGTTGCTCGTGTCCAACAATCAAATCACACCAGAGATTCTCAGTTGGATTGAGGTCTGGGCTTTGACTGGACCCTCCAGGACATTTAACCTGTTCTGTTTGGGATTGTGTCTTCAGCAGTGTGTTTAGGACCAGTCGCCTGTGGAACCTCGACCCAGTATCAAACCTCTGAAAGACTCCACAAGTTCCTCTCAACAACTTCTCTGTACTTTCTTCATCCATCTTTCCTTTAACCCCGAGCAGTGTCCCTGTCCCTACTCATGAAAAACAACCCCACAACATGATGCTGCCACCACCGTGCTTCACTGGACTACAGCTGCTTCTCACACACGTTTGGATGAAGAACTTGTTTTTCCTGCCTCTCTTCCATCAAACTCAGCTCCGTGCAGCATCTAATGGTCCTCCTGTCTCTTTGGAAGAGCTGCTCAGCTCCATCAGTTATCTTTTGGATGTTTTCCTGATTGATACCCTCCTTACCCACTTTGTGAGTTCTAGTGAGTGACTCTCTATTGGCAGGTTTGCTACAGTTTATTCATTGTTCTATTTCCTGATAATGGATTTACTGGGAACATCTCTAGGATGTTCAAGGTTTAGGATGTGTTTACAGCCCAACCCTGAGTCTCGTGGTCTTCATGCTGTAGTGGGGTTGGACTGGTGTTGATTTTTAAGACTTGGGCTTTGATGGGTTTAAATAATTTGACACTTTGCCAAATCCTGAGACTTCTTAAGGTCATGGTGGAGACTGAGTGACGCGTCACCTCTAACAGGCAAATCAAGACAGTGGAGACAACAACAACTAAATGCTGCTTTGCACATGCATGTGTGTGGTGGCAGGTGTATGAAGTTACAACAACACGACCCGTCAGCTGCAGACGTCCACCGCCGCTGCCCAACCACTTCCCTGCAAACTGGGGTGAAACACAACGGGAGGGGGCGGTTGTTGTGGCCGATCTCCATTCGCTGATAAAAAGGATCCAATGACCCCAAATGTCTAAAGAGTTCACTTTACAAAACACACAGCGCCTGCATGACTCGCGCTCTCAGCTGGACTTCAGAGATACGAACGTTGTCGGCACATCAGGGACAACCCAAACACAAAAACATGGAAAGTTTATCGGTTACTCGTGTTGGAACCGACAGCCAGGGCCGAGAACTGCTGCAAGAAATCTCCTTGCATGTCTGACTCGCACAAGGTTTTCATCCCATAACTCTGTCTGGTCTTGTTTTAATAAACTAATAAGTTCTGACAGAGCAGAGGCGGGATGTTAGAGCAGCACGATGGAGCTCTGTGACGTTCACTTGGAAGAGATGTGGAAAGTTTGATTGAAAAGAGTTCAAGGTGCAGAAGCCAAAGTTCCTGATCGCATCAAAACACCTTCGACACCTTAAAGCACGTTGAGCGTAAAGAAGTAAGGTGTGACACACTGCATGCGTCCAAGCTGAAATGTTGCAGAATTGTTTGCTTTATATCAAAATAAACCAAAAAAAAAAAACCAAGAGAAAAGTGGAAAGTAATCAGTTGTTGGGAAATCAACACAACAGCCACAAAGAAACTAACAGAAGACGAGAAAAATGTCAAAAGAAACAGAAAAGTAACGTGAACGTGACCCTGAAGCACAAAGATGCATCGTTGGTCAAGGAGCCGTGATTCTGAAGTCCAGTGAAAGAAAAAACAGCCACATCAAGATGCAGAATAAACAAGAATAAACACATAAAGCAGAAATATACAAAGAAAGGAGACACAACTATGAAAAGTGAAACCAACCGACGATGAAACACTTGAAGAGTTAGACCGGCACAACTCAAGTACAAAATGGCAAACAACAATTTATGCACAACCACAATGTAAAACCATCCCAAAGGAACACAAAGAGATTAAAAACAATCAAAATAAGACAATAATTTAGTTAAAAACACACAAAACTTTAGAAACTGAATGCTGAGACATCTGCTGAAGAAACTGAAACAGCTGTTAAAGCTAAAATCAGCATAAAACACTAAATTAGAGAAAGTACATTTCAAACAGATCAATGTTTCTGAGAGATTTGTCAAAAGTTCTATGTATTTCAATTAGAAAATATTGTAAATTCTCATACTAATAGTTATAATTGTAAAGAAAGCTTTTGATGAGTAAAAAACTGCAAACCACAGAAGTAACGTCTCACGAATGAGCTGAACGTTTAAGAACGGCTGAAACGGCACCGAGTCTGAAAAGTTCACTGCAGAAACGTGCAAGAAATAAAAAGCAGGAAACCCAGCAGGTGGAAGCAGGTTCTGATGGAGGCTCCTTCCTGTTGTCAGGGAGTTTTTCCTCTCCACTGTCACCTCTGTGCTTGCTCAGGGTGGGAGCCTGCGACAAAATGACGACTCAACACAATCTGCTGCTTCCATTCTCCCTTGGATAAATAACTTTACTAATTATAAGTTTGTGAATGTTTTTCTGAGGAAACTTTGTGGTGACGTGGCTGTAAAAATAAACTGAACTGAATTCAGAATAGAAAACAACGAGCGCTCAATCATTACACAATAAAAGCACAAAAACAAACTCGGCACA